TGTGCGCCGCCCTTAGATTGATACTATTTATACTGTAGCCTTGTTTTGATAATAAGAGAAGGCCGCTCGCTCACTCAACCATCGCAGGGGTGGATCTTGATTCAATTTTTTCATGTTTCTTTGAATCCGCGCCTCCTTGTTCTGTTCCTAATCAGTAATCATTGCAGACGGACCCTTTTTTTGTCTGTTCCAAGTGGGTGAAACTCGGAATAATGACATTATAATCAATATTGTACACCTTAATGATTAAAACCAGGCTAAGTAGTTGCCCGCGTTCTTACTCTAAAGAGTACAATTAAACAAATTAAAAATTCCATACATACACAATTGAAATCATATACGTTTTTCATTTAAAAATAAATTTTGACTTTTTGTTATAGTTGAAAGTATAATTAATTTTCATTTTTTATTAAATTATTATGCAATATAAATATAATGTAGTTTAAGAAAAGGAGTTGTTTTTATTAAATAATTTTACATTACCAAAATCAATTAAAATTCATAGTTGAGTGACTAGATTGTGAACACAAATTGCAAAAGTGAAATGAAGCTTGATTTACCTGAGTTGTTGTCATAGTTAAAGATCCGTCGTCCTTCATCACGCCGAGAAATAGATTAAAATATTTCAGGCAAGAGGAAAATAATGAGGTTATTACACGTTTTAATGATAATGATGATAATGATAAGCAAGAAATTGTAAAAACGAATAAATTATGGATTTCTGGTCCGAGTGACAGCGTTTCCTGTGTTTTAGTATTTTATTTTTGTATTGAAAAGAAATCAATATCCTATCATTTTTAGTCTAAAGTAATTTTAATTGGGTTTGAATCAGGGCAACTATGCATGAACTCATCCAAATAATGGCAAAAAGAAAATAAATTATAACATATATCGGATATATCGGTGATAAGAAAACTAAGACCTACAAAAATAAATTTTTTGAGTTGGGGAATAAAATATTTGTTAATGTGCTTATTCGAATAATATTTAAAAATTAAGTATTCCATTTTGGCTGTAAAACTTCGCACAGAACAATAAAGAAGCCTTTAAATTTCCCAGTTTATCTCTAATTTGAAAAAAAAAAACAATATTTAGACTTATGCGTTGACAAATTCTGATTAAAATTCAACTATACCACTAAATATACATAAAAAATTTACAATTATTAACAGTTAAAATATTAAAAACACTTTAAAAAATTAATATAATCCCAAAATTTTACTTATATGCTAATGCAGGTACGCAATCTCCGGCACCGCCAATTTGCATAAAGTGCCAATCTGCACGTTAATTTTGCGCCGATCACCCAGCTGGTGGCAAATCCTTACTGCATCGCGACAAACAAAGGACGCGTCGCCGGTGCAGCTAATATGCAAAACGTGTGCCGAGTGCATATTATTTTATTTCAATCCAAGTGCATGGATGGGCACGCGACGGGCACACGACTTGAGTGGCGCGCCCTGCCGACTCGCAGCCCAACCGACGCTTTGGTCCAGCGGCGAGACGCATAGGCAGGGGAATTCAACGCGAGTTCTATTCATTTTTTTTTTCACTCTCCGTGTATACCTCCACACAATAAATTCTTATCATTTGATATAAAAGGGGGAGGTGGGAGGGAGCCGCGAGGGCTTTTTGTCCGTTGCAGCTGCTCTCGTCGCCGGAATTATCTACAATCCAGTGCACCCCCTCAGATTTTTCAACCCTATTCTACCTCGGCTGCCGTGTGTCGGCGCGAGATATTATATCACAAAAACTCTGCTGCGTATATTACGTATTTTTTTTACAATACAACTTGCTTGTACGTACGCGAATTCAATATTGCAGGTTGGCATAGCTGTGCGCTTATTTGTTATTTATTTATGCGCACTTTGCCGCGGCCTATCAGATAAAATCTCTCTCATATTTTTTCTTTGCGCCGACAAAAGTCGCAGAGTGAAATTTTTGATAGCGATTTATATACAATTTATGCTTCTGGAGCGGAAAAATAAATAAATATTCAAGAGCGGAATGGGTTGGTACCGCATATAGTTTGCTTTTAAGTAAATATTAGAGGAGCAGCGGGGAATCTCGCTCGATTTCTGCTAATTTCCATAACAATTGATTCCGTCTAGGAATGGTATTTTAAATAATCCTGATATATTTATGTTCGTTAAATTTCTGTCACTGGTCCCATTCATGCGCGCCGACTGAACCCTTATCATTTCAGGGTGTTTAGATATATTCAAATTTAAAATTAAAATATGAATTATTTTTTGCCTATGGATGTGGGTGCTTATTTTATGTTGTAAATTGGCAGTTGAAATTATAATTGAAGTTAGTATTTAGCAAAATTTAAAAATATCAGTGTCGTCAGAAATTCAAATATCCTTAATTTTATTTCAATTTTGTAGAATTTTTATTTATTATGAAAAATCTCATTGTTTGCCAATTTTCCTTTGGCAATAGTCATAGTTTTCATCGCTTCACAGCATTAGAAAAAATCGACGGAATCATTAAATCTGATTAAAAAAAAAAAATGTAATACACATAACTTTTAATTTTTCAATGTTAGCCAAGAATGATAATAATTTTCACATTGTGTGGCCGCAAATTATTCAACCTTCGTCCACCTAATTAAATATATTAGAGCTACACTCGGTTTACAAGCAATAAAATAATCTGCGCAGCACTCACACAATTAAAATTTGACTGCGTCTAATTAATCTTGGACGGCTAATCAAGCAGAAGTATTAGCGGCCCCCCGTCGTTGCCAGCCAGCGCACACTGCTGGATTCGATTTTCAACGTCCGACTGACTGCTTTTCAGAGTTTTTTCTTCCTTACAAAATATACCCGCGAGTTCAAATCTAATTCGGCTGCTGATAAATCCGCGTCTTGTTGTTATAACGTGGAAAAAATTCGCATGAGCGAATATGGTGTGAATAGAGCGGCAGAGACGTGAATTTGAATTATTTATTCACTCTCGACTTGGTTTTGAATACATTTATTTATTTTCGTTTTACTACAATGATGTGACACCGGGGGCTTACTTTATTGCCCCCTAAATCCTCTTGACGTTTCTGGCTAGACCGGTGGACGACACGGCACGTTATCGGCAGATCTCTCAAATCTCGCGAAAAAACTTGATATAGCGCGCGTCCTGTGAGGCAGAAGGAATTTTGTAATCCTAAAAGCCAATTTAGTTCCAAATGTTTGGGCGACAAACAAGATTATTCGCGAATTTTTATACACGATTTGCTACTTAAACTTATTCCTCGCCGGACTCATCTGGATTTTTATACAAATAAAAGATAAAAATGTCTAAAACGAGATCACCTAAATGCGATTCAAATATGATTAAATTCCTTAAATTATTCTGAGAGGCACAAGATGGAAGCGAAAAGCATTAAAATGCCAATCATTATGAAAGGAAATTTTTTGCAAGTTTACTCGATTTGCAGAATAAAATCTTTCATTTTTGCTTCATCTCCAAAAAAAAAAAAAAATAAAAATAAAAATAGAATTTAAAAACTTGCTTCATTTGATACTAACTTATAAAATTTGCTATTTTATTTTTATTAATAACGAATAATTTTATAGTTGAACAAAAATACGTCTTACAAAAATGACATTGTTAATTAATATTTTTGCATTTAAATAATCTATTGTTAATATTATAGGCGTAATAACGGTTGATGAGTGAAAATTTACTAATATACAGTATTAAATTTAAAAATTTTCTAATAAATAATTTACGAAATTTCATAATTCAAATCTGGCAGCATTTTTCAAGCACCTGTCCAGAGCTCCAAAAGATAATATTTATGCAAAAGATCCGTCAATTATTCCCCGAACACCATCAATCAATATTCAACCCCTTCAATTTGTGCACGCACATGTGGACGAAACCCAATATGCGTAATTTCCTTATCTCATGAATATTCACGTGGCCGACCGGTCGATCTCTGCGCTGTCGGCGTGCGGCTTTGCTGACCAGAGGCGCAAGCCACAAAAACCAAATCTCATCCGAAAACAACAACTGCGAGCGAGGAGGAGGATCGAGGGTCCGCGGCGGTACATTTATAATATTTTAATACCGCTCTTGGTGGACGAAATTTATTCTCTCCCTCCTCCTCCTCAAAACAGAAGAGAGTGTAACCCTTTGAGCGGTTCTGTTTTACGAGATGGCCAGATGACATCCGCAGATAAAGAAAGGAGATGCAACGTTTTCTGCCTATGGTGTAATATTTTTCTTTTATTCTCCAACTGATCTTCCTACACATTATAATTCTTGCTGTCATCGCGCCCGCCGAACCGAAAGGGGAAAACGAACCAACCTCCCATCAATAATTATACACGATAATTTTTTAATATATCAGCGGCTGCCGGTGGTGCTGCGCCGGGGCTCCCTTTTTTTATAACTTCTCTCGTTCTTTTCAATTCATACCCGAGTTTAAAAAATGATCCTATGCAAATTCGTCTCAGCGGGGAAATAGATAAATAACGTAGCGCTTCATTACAAATGATTTAGAATGTTTTCTTTGTAAATGAAATTAAGATGTTATTCACGCATCCGTCTTTTTGGACGGTTTTGCCGAGTGTAATTTATGCTCGCCGAGTTAATTTTCAATTTGGAGACGTGATTAATTGCTGCGTGAGTGGTACTGAATGCATGCTTGTTTTAGTTGACGTATTTCAGTGGAAAAAATTGGAATGAACTAAATAATTAAAAATTGTCGCAGAAATTGTAAAGATGTAAAAATTTTGATGGATCACGTTGGATACTTTTTTTGTGGTTGGATATTAAGATTTGGATACTTTTGATTTCATTGATGTCAAAAATTGTAAACTATGAAGAGTTGTGTTGGACATGGCAGTGAAAAGTTAATGAAATTGTTCAAAGCTGTGTTCCTAAAAAGATGGCAATACAATACATGAGGCCCTACGTAATGTACAAAAATTAAACTCTAATTGGGAAGCTAATTCTAATTAGATGGGATTTTAACCAAATTTGATTCTTCCAAATATCATTTTTATTAAATAATACATAGATTCAGCACAGAATGGCTTTTGAAAAATGATTTAATGATCAACGTGAGACTGATCAAAAAATATATTTTGTTAACATTTTCACCGGAATGCTTGCAATTTTGCATCAGGTCTGTGTGGTATATGTATCAGGTACAGTGTATTATACAGTATATTGACAGAATTCAGATGTAGCAATGCTAATAAAAAATTTAATCAAGTTACTTATATCTATTTACTTTCAACATTTGTTTGCCTCTTGTAAACAGTAAGAAAAATTTCATGGCTTTTCCAATTTTCTGTGAGACAACTATATATTTTTTTCTAATTATTTGAGGAATAAAATTGTTTCCTTAAAAAGACTTCTATACATAAAGAACTCTTACACGTATATTGAAAATTTTCATATCTCATTTATTTTGGGCACCTGATAAGTTCAAATCCAGTGATGTCTGTAACAGAAATCTTCTCCGTTATTAAAAATAGTTTAAGATCTCGGACTTCACTACCCCAAACCAAATCACCGGCACTTGGACACTTTGTAAAGGAGATTGACTTAACTGGATTATTTTGCAAGTATTGAACAGAAATTGTGTAAAAGACATTTTCCTTGAGGTGCACCTCATGTGGTAATTTGAGCCACTTGGAGTCTTTGGATTCTGACATACCTTTGAATGAGATTGAGGCAAGGACTTTTGGAGAATGGGCACAAGTAATGTTACAAATTAAATTAACCTCGGAATCTTGACCTAAACACTCCAATTGAATGCCCTTTAAATAATGTCGACTGCATCGGCTTGCAAATTTAAACACTGAATTACCACTTTCACTGTCCAAAATAACTTCATTGCTTGAAATTTTAGGTAAGAAAGTGTAATACATACTATCTTTGTGATTTAATTTGCGATAGCGCCGATCACGAGAAAAATGTTCAGGCAGGAGGCTTTGGTCAACCAGATCAATGCTGACTATTACTTTCAACTTATCTTCATCAGTCATCATTTTGGCACACTCGGATTTGCACAGTTCTCCAAATTCAACCGCATCCATGGTCATGAAGCGAATTAATTTCAGAGCATCCTTGGTCTTAGCTCTGATTTCTTCCACATCAATCATCTCTTTCTCCTCGTTGCCAATAGCAGCTCCCTGAGCTCCCCAAGCATACAAAGCTTCAAAGAGCTCTTTCTCAGACTCCACTCTCAGATGCTCCATTTGGAAGACTTCCAAAACTGTAGACACAGATGATTTCAACCAAGCTTCTGACTTCAGAACTGCGCTAGCGTTGGAGGCAATGATCTGCAAATTTCACATAAATGAGAAACTATTGCGACAAAATAATTAAACATGAGATATGGGACATACTGATAGAAGAGATTTATAGTGCGAGTAATCGTTTAATGATTTGAACATTTCGTGCACGGTGATGACATCTTCTGGGCTGGGCTCTTCAAAGAATTTTGCAGCAACTTCCATCAAGTCATTCATCAGCCACTGATGAGAAAACTTGTAAACCTTGCAGGCTTTCTCTACTTCTTTGAAGTCAGCTTCGTCGCCGTAAACATATCTGTGAGAAACAAAATAATAAGATCAAACTAATATTTTGGTTCATAATTTTTTTTGCTATGCATCTTACCTCATGACTAAATCAAAAATCTCAGGTTCAATTAAGTTGATTTGAATTGGGTCATCTTTGTCCTTGGACGACTCACTGAAGTTTCCAAACAACATTTTAGCAAAAACAGGACTTGATCGAGCAAGGATCACTTTGTGACATTTGAAGACCTAAAAATTCAAATTTATTATCACCATAAGATTATTATCCTATGATTTTTCTAAAAATAAGAAATTTTAAAAGAAGAAAGATGCATACTTGATTTTGAATAATTATATTTATAATGATTATAATTTTTAATGATTTTCAACTTTCACTATTTTGAAAAAATCAAAAAAATATATAATTTTTATTTCATTTATTTTTTGTGCAGGTAACAAACCTTATATTCAGTTTCACAGCTCACTTCAAACGTGCAGTCATAAAAGAAGCCTTCAGTATACAATGCCAGTTCATCCTTCAATCTTTCACCCGTCCTTCTGGATGACCACAAATCGTGTAAGGGAGGATCAGAACTGCATTCAGCAGCCATAGCCATATTTAGTTCCTATAAAAAAATTATGTTGAATATATTGAGGCACCTTATTTGGCCCCAAAAAGAAATGGCTTGAATTATATTTGCTAGAGGATAACATTACAATAAATAGATTTAGATGTTTTATTTTCTTTTTTCTTTTTACCTTTTCTCTCTAATGTTTTTGGGATAAGATTGAAAATTAAAATGGGAATCGACGAAACATGCAAAAATATTTTGTCTTTAATTACATAAAATGTGTAATGAAATATCAGATACACTACTCAGTTTTTTGAGCTGCAATAAAATGCGGAAAATTACCAAAATGCTTATCGAGGTCAGATCGCTGAAGTGTTGACCCAGGACGTCCAGGACGTAGAGTTTGCGTCTGCTATACCTGCTACTGCTACACAGTAAGTCCCTCTCTCAAGGTCTCTCTCCGGTTACAACTCTACTGGCACCTGGCACTTCTTTTACGCTGGATTTTATATTTTATACTACTTCCAACAATTTCTTGGCATCTGTAATCTACAGTTTACAGCGAGAGAGAGTATCCACGATGTGCGATGTGAAATGCGGAGCGAGTGCAAAACTCGAGCTCGAAGATTGCGAGTTGCGATTGATGATTCTTTCCGTTTTCGGTTCAAGCATGTATGATTCCGTTCCGTTCTGTCGCTCGATTGTCTGGCCCACGTCGCCTGCCTATTCTGCGTTCGCTCACATGTTGCTCACTCACATAATTTCGTTCCATTCCATTCTTTTCTTTTCTGTTAGAATACAGATTAATACGCATTCAATCCATTCACATCAAATGGATCGCAAGGCTTGAAATTGTATGCATTCTAATCAGTAAATTTGTTTGTCTGAATTCTCTGATTTTGTGAGTTGGCAGTTCAGGTATTTGGCAACGTAAATAAAAAAGTAAATATTCAATTAATGGATTTAATTACATTAACTTTTATCACAAAATTTACACAAAACAGTTTTAGTTTTTGAGCATAATAATATATTTTCACATGTGTCAATATTAATTGCAGCTCCTAAAAGTCCTAAATATGTGTTTGTGGAGTCGTCGCTATCTTCAGCATCAACAAAAGGTAAGATTCATAGTTATCATTTTTTTAAATAAAATAAATATTATAAAGAAAATCCAAATTTTTCAAGGGTTATCAACCCTTCCGTGCATAAAAATCATTGCATAAAAACAGTTACTAAAGTATAATGAAATTTTGGATTTAGGTCTTAAGGAGTATGTAAACAAAGTAATGATAATGATACATTAATTAAAAAGGAATAATATATGATAATTAATAATAATATAAGTGGAGTGTGAGATTATCATTTAAAATATTAAATTCATAATTATAATTTACACAAATATAATATCTATAGGAATAAATAATTATGCTCCAATGTTTGTGGAGAATTAGAAAAACCAAATTGCTCTCCTCATTACATTCCAAGCACACATTTTTGACAACGTCACAGGGCGAAATTACTCAAACGGCACAGATCTAATTAGTGTTGACCCCCGCAGTGACAAAATTATTCACATGCCCTGCAGTCCCGAGAGATCGTATTTTTTATTCACGTCCCGAAATTCCGTGTGTACTTGAACTCGAACAAAGCGTGAGGCAACCGCACACTAGCATTTATTATTTCGTTTTATACACGAGACTCTAACACAATGAAAAATACGTCAAGTTATATTTAAATGACCCCTTTTATGTCAACATCACGCTGCGATACACATAAAATACACGCCGATGCAGCTACTTATTTCATGTCCACCAAATTTCATCCGCGGCCGGTCATAAATAAAATATGAAACGTGCGGAGCAGCAGTCGAACTCAAATTTGCCACAATTTGAATTCCATTCATATATTTATATACAGATGGCATCTCTTATATTAAAAGGCACAGTAAGTGTGTTGTGACGTTTTTTTCTTTGTAAAGAAAGAAACAGTCTTCTGAAGAAGCAGCAATATTTTGACCGAATTCCGCGTTTGACAAGAGACACCAAATATTCTGCATGACAATGGGTTTTATTCGTCTCGGCCTACACCGTTTTCTCCTTTATTTTATTGTTGGCGTGTCACTTCTGCGTCCGAAACGTGTCCCTCTTTTTTTACTCTCTCTCATCTCGGCCGAAGAGAAGAAGAGATAATCTCTGGCAATTCAAGTAGTTGTTTGAATATTATGTCAAAAGCCCCCGTTGTTGTCGTATTTATAGGATGGAAATTTTATTGTTACACACACGCACAACTCCTTCACAGATAATAGACCTTATAGAGTTGTTTGTCGCGCGGACTAATAAATTCCTTGATGTCTCTATTTGTCAAGAAGAGCTTGGAGTTTTTCTCTCATTCTAATCTGACGCTCCATCTCGCCAAATATTATTGGCTTTCCTCTAAATCAATGTAGCTGATAAGGGAGAGAGAGAGAGAGAGGGTCTGATCCACACCTACGCAAATATATAAAAGACGTAAAATAGCAACTAAAACCGGCGGCACACCTGAAATAAGCCTTTTGATAAACCTATAAATTTCTGTTTTTGCAAAAGATTTCCGTTTATTGGCCTTTTCCTGTTTGACTCTTGCCGAAAAAAAGGAGAAGTTTGGGAAGTTTATTTTCAATTTAATTATACTCACCATTTGAATGCGAAAACGTTTCTTTGAAAATGTTCCAGGTGACAGTCTATAGTATGGAAGAACTGGAATTAAATTATTAAGTTGATTTAAAAAAAAGAACACACGCAAGTTTCAAAAGCAAAAAATGACGTCAAAATGCCTCAATTACAAAACATAATTATTGTCGATTCACCCGGATTCACCAAATGCGCGATGAATGAGAACCTAGTCAAACAAATTACTCTGTTTTTTTCCTCCATAAACGTCTGCTTCAAATTTCAATTCAGCGAAGTCAATCGACCAAAATTGCAAAAGACGCCCATGCCAATTATAATACACTAATTTTATTACACAGAGAGACAATTACTTACACTAAAGAGAGCTAATTGAGTGCACACACCTCGAAAATTTTGAAGCAGCCAAGACCAGACAAGTGTGAGACGGACTCATTATTTTACAGACTCATATGTGTAATTTTTGCTGGGCAATTTAATAATTATTGCTGAACCAGCAACACTGAGCACAAAATCGTTTTACTTAATATTAAGTCATTACGTTAAAATACAATAATTATTTTAATACTTTGTACAGATTTTAGTTTTTTTTCTAAAATAAAAAAGCAATGAGGATTATATGCAAATTTTATATTTTAAAATTTTTGCAATTGCCATTGCGAGTATCATTAAGTGATATTTATGAGATGTTTTAAATTAATTGAAACCTAATAAATCTTAAAAAGATTGATTAGCAGTATTTAAATGACTACTGCTTCTAACTGACAAAAATATGTTAGTAAATTAATTTTTAAAATTTCCATCGAGATGAGATTGAAAAAAAAAACATATCGGTTAAGAATTATACAAATTTGTATTAATTTGCTAATACATTGTTTTGTATTCTTAATATTTTCTGTTCGTTCTATATCTATTTATTTTGTTTTAGATTTTTCACCTCCAAAGTCAATTAAATATATTGCAATCATCTGAATTAAAGTTTTAAACATAATCGATGCGAGCTGCCTCACACGACGCTTTAATTGGCCCTAATGCCCTCGGCAGCTTTCGGAAATAATTTCGCGTTTTGGCAACGGCGGCGGCGCGAAACGAACAATCATCTTTCTTTCTCTTTTATTCGCGGCCTCAACTCACATGCAGTATAATTTGATGCGGAGCTGTTAAAATGCGAAATTGGCCGCCGCAGCATGAATTCAGTTATGTATGATATTTTCAGTAGCGTTTCTTCTTTTTCGCTCGGCAAACAGATTGCAGCGTAATATCAGACGGACAGATAAAAATATACCCGCCGCTCGCCGGGCAATTTGGAGATCGCTACAGGTGTTCGACTTGGTATGCACTACTGGACAATAATTCCTTTCTGTGGATATTATTTTTAAATAAGCATAATAATATTTATACCAACGTTCGTTGCTTGCAAGAGCACTCACGCTGTTTATAAGTCTGTGAGAGAAAAAAATCTATGACGGTGGTCAATTGTGCGCCGCTCGCATGGTGCTTTTGTTGAAATTTACTGCCCATCAAGAGCAGTCAGTCGGATCACGTACTGCTTTTCTCGAAAATCAAACCATCTCCTCGCCTCCCATCAATTGTTCGTTTCTCTCTTCGATGATCGACTGCCGACGAGAGAGTTGTTATTCGGAAGAAATATGATGATGACTCTATCGCGAATTAGAAAAGACCGGCAGCTCTCACGACCCAAGAAATGCCTTTGTATGTTCACTCCATTTCGATTCCAAGATTGACTTGTTTAAAGTAATGAAAAAAAAATATAGAGTTATTTATAGGTTTTTTGATTTATTAGCATCCATAGTCAATAGTAAAAATTTTTGTCATGAATGACTGTTATAGGCTATAACATAAAAAGGTAACAAGACCGTTCATTATAATATAGGATGCTGTTGGGAATGAATCCTATTTCATATTCAATAAAATGAGAAAAATGTATCATTAATTTTACTTAAAGTTATTTTTCATTAAAATTTTATTTTCTACTCATTCGATTAGTATAATAATATTTAATTATTTCTTATCCTCTGGTCTTTTGCACAAAATTTTACTGAGGATTGCAAATACAGCCTGCAAACAAAACAGATCTAATGTTGTCCTTAATGCGGTAGAGAAGATAAAATAGAAATGGATGGTCTGCATTGAAGATGGGTGGTTCAATTAAGCAGAGATACACCCCTGTACCTACATTTTTTTTTTAAATTCATATTAATTGTTTTTAAATATAATTACATGAGGTCACTGCGGCAGCTTCAGTCCCCAACTCATCCACTTCAATGAAACACTTTTGAGATGCAGAAGAAACAAACAGGTTTTCAGATTTGCAAATTCCAGAAAAATCCATTTTTCCCAATTCAGTAGCGTCTTAGAATCGCAATCTTTGAGTCCTGCAGCCAAAACGCTTAAAATCTCCATCTCCGTCTTGGCTCTCGAGCCAGCAAGAGTGGCGATTAGAGCGAAATAGGCACTTTGCGGAGATATAATTAAATTTTTCTCATGGTCCCCCGATATAAGCTAAAATAAAATTTAATTTAATTTCTGAGGTACTTTTGTAAAATTTTAAGACTTCCATTTAAATTTAATGCATTTTGCTTTTATTTTAAAATCAGACCAAATTGAACAAAAACGTACCTCAACAATTTTGTTGCAAAATTTCCACTGAGCGTCAAACACTTCCATGGTAATGCGAAATTGAGTCTAACCTTTCTTTTATAATCTTGAGACAAGACTCTTGTATCCTTGGTCTGAGCGAAAATGATACGCTTGTTTCTTCTGGAGTCATTCCAATTGGGTATAATGTCAAATATGCTTTTCGGACTTGATTATTTAAATGTATTAAAACTGTAAATAAGTGGCGGGCGTTGTAAATACACCATCGGAAATATTTGGTCTCAAAGTATGCTAATGTATATTTCCTCTTATTTAGTGAAGATGAATTCAGTTGCGAATTCACTTTGATTTTTTAGGTTTTCTTAAGAAG